TGGATGTCAGTTATCGTCTCTTTGGGATATATTCCCAGTAGTGGAATTGCTGGGTCAAATGGTATCTCTATTTGCAACTTTTTGAGAAAGCACCACATGGCCTTCCACAGTGGTTGTACCATTTTACACTCCCACCACCAGTGAATAAGGGTTCCAGTTTCTCCACAATGTCGCCAGCATTTGTTGCTTGCTGTTCTGTTAAATTTTGTTATCCTTACTGGGGTGAGATGATATCTCATCTCTCTTAGAGCTAGGGATTTTGAATATTTCTTCATGTGCTTGTTGGCCATCTGAATGTCTTCTTCGGTGAAGTGTCTGTTCATATTCTGTGCCCATTTTCCAATTGGATTATGTATCTTTATCTTGTTGTGGTGCTCAAGTATTTTATAAATTCTAGATATAAGTCTTTTATCTGACATGTCACTATCAAATACTTTTTCCCAGTCTGTGGTTTCCCTTTTTACCCTGTTGGAGAAGTTTTTGGATGTGCATAGGGATTTGATTTTTAGAAGGTCCCATTCATCTATTTTATCTTCTCCTGGTTATAGACAATTAAATATTTTTTTAAAAATAACAAAAACTAAAAAAAAAGTGCTTTTGTGTATTATTAATAAAAAATAACAAAAACTTGTGTTTTATTGACTATGCAATGGCACTTGACCATGTGGATCAAAACAAATTGTGGATAATACTGTGAAGAAAATAAGATTTCCAGAACACTTAATTGTGCTTATGAACACAGACCAGCAGGTAATCATTTAGATAGAATCAAGGGATATTACATGATTTAAAACCAGGAAAGGTGGACCCTGGGGTGGATCCTTTCATCATACTTATTCAATCAGTCTGAGCAAATAATCTGAGAAGCCAGACCATTTGACAAACACAATATTTCATTAAATATTTTACACAGATGACACACAAACTTGCTTGCTGAAATGAAGAGCACTTGAAGCACTTCCTGATGAAACCTTCAGTTTGGATCACATCTCAATATAAAGAAAACAAAAATCTTTACAACTAGACCAACAAACAAAAGTATGATAAATGGAGAAAAGACCGAAGTTGTTCATGGATTTCATTCTACTTGTATCCATAACCTTATTATAGAAGCACTAGTTAAGAACTCATAGGGCCCACTGCATTAAGTAAATCTGTTGCACAGACCTCGTTTTTACTGTTAAAAAGCAAAGACTTTGAGAACTAAGGTATGCTTAACCCAAATTACTGTCTTTACAGTCACCTCACATGCATGCCAAAGCTGGACAAAGACTGAGGAAGACCAAGAAAGAACTGAAGAACAAAGATACCATCAACTATCAGAAGGACAAACAAAACTGTCTTGGAAGAAATATGGCCAGAATGCTATGCTCTGTGGAAGGAAAGGAAAGAAGGAAGGATGGCAAGATTTTCTCAGGTATTTTGGAGATATTATCAGGAGAGACCAGTCCTTGGAGAAGGACACCATGTTTGATAAAGAAGAGAGTCAGTAAAACTGAAGATCCACAGCAGGATGGACTTCCGTGGCTGCAACAATGTGCTCAAACCAAACAGCTGTGAACAGGGGGCAGGACCACAAAGTGTTTTGGTCCATTGTACACCGGGTCAGCATGCATCGGAACCGACTCAATGGCACATAACATCAGTTACAACACTGAACTCTATACACCTGAGTGCCCTTCCCCTCCCTTGCTACTACCATTATACCTCTCTGAGCTCACAGAACCTTGTTGTTATGTGCCATCGAGTAGTTTGTGACTCCTAGCAACCCTATGTACAAGAGTCCTAAACACCGTTCTATCCTGTGCCAATCTCGCTGTCTCAAACACATTCATTCCCACCACTCCACTCACAGAATCGATCCATCTCATCGAGGGTCTTTCTCTCCTGCGCCGTCCCTCCACTGTCCCAAGCATGATGTCCCTCTCCAAGGACCAGTCCCTCCTTGCTAGATGCCCAAAGTATGTCAAACGAAACTTCAGAATCCTTGACTCCAGGGAATATTCTGGCTTCACCTTCTCCTGGACAAACCTGTTTGTTCTCCTAGCAGTCCATGGTATATTCAAAACTCTTCTCCAGCACCACAACTCAAAGGCATCAATTCTCTTTCTATCACCCCTATTCACTGTCCAACTCTCCAAAGCACAACACATAATTGCAAAGACTATAGCCTGAATCAGGTGCACCTTAAGTCTCCAGCCTGAGTCGTTGCTCTTCAGTACTCTTGAGAGGTCCCTCACAGCTGACTTTCCCAATGCAATTCGTCTCCTAATTTCCTGGCTGCTGTTACCAAGAGTGATGACTGTGGAGCCAAGCAAACCAAAACTGTTAACTATCTCAATCTCTTCACCATCCATAGTGATGCTGCCAATTGGCCCAGTGGTGAGAATCTTTGTTTTCTTGATATTGAGCTTCAATCCATATTGAAGACTGCAGTCCTTGATCTTCTGCAGCAAGCGCTTCAGGTCCTCCTCAGTCTCAGCAAGCAGGGTTGTGTCATCTGCACAACGCAGGTTGTTGATGATTCTTCCACCAATCCTGAAGCCACATTCCTCCTCGTACAGCCCAGCATCTCAGATGATCAGTTCTGCATACAGATTAAAAAGGTATGGAGACAAAACATATCCCTGACGCACACCTTTCTTGATTTGGAACCATCCAGTGTCTCCCTGCTCTGTTCTGATGACTGCCTCTTGGTCCAAGTATAGGTTTCGCATTAGCACGATCAAATGTTCTGGGATTCCCATTCTTCTCAGAGTCAGCCATAGCTTGTTGTGACCCACACAGTCAAAAGCCTTTGTATAGTCAATGAAGCACAGACAGACATTCTTCTGGTATTCTTTGCTTTCTGCCAAGATCATCTTACATTAGCTATAATATCCCTAGTACCACGACCTCTTCTAGATCCTGCCTGCACATCTGGCAGTTCTCTGTTGACATATTGTTCCAAACGTTTTTGGATAATTTTCAGCAGAATCTTCCTTGCATGTGATATCAATGATATTGTTCGATAATTTCCACACTCTGTTGGGTCACCTTTCTTTGGAATGGGAACAAATATCGATTAGAGGGTCAATATTCCTGCATTTATCCCAGTCCATTAGGCCCCACTTACTGCTCATCATTCCTGACTTAGCCAATAATCAAGGAGTAAGAATTTGATTATGCTGCACTATTGCTGAATTTACCAGGCAAAGACCCAAACCCAGATTAGGGTAGGTCTCTGTACATCCTTCCTGGTCTTACAGAGCTAAGGTGGCAGCTAGGCACTGATACAGTAAAATCACACATGGATGGAGACTAATATGCAAGTCTGTGGCAGGGATACAACGCACCTGGTCACCAGCACTGCCACAGGTGGTCCTTTTTCTTGGTGCCGCTTGTCCTCACCCTCTCCTAGAAGCTACCTGAGGCCTGTGTCTCCCATTCTCAGCAGAGCTCCTATGCCTATTTCATAGAAGAAGTTAAGTCCTGAGTTGATGAATCACCTATGGAGCTCTGGTAGTGCAATGGGTTAAGCACTGGTCTTCTAACCAGCTGTTCTGAAGGAAAAAGAGGAAGCAGCCTGTCCCTTTCAAGATTTACAGCTTTCAGAGGCTTCAATGGAGAAGGAGGGGCAATCTTCTCCTGTGCCAGTCGGATCCTACTTGATGGTACACAACGGCAACAACAACAGAAGGACAGCCTCGGTTCTATTCTGACCTGGGATCACTCAAAGGCAGTGTGGAATCTCTTCCTAGGAGCTTTCCACACCAACACCTACTGCTATTTCCTTTCCCTGGCCACCTTTCCTCCCATTAAAAGCCAGCTCTGCGTGGAGCCTGTCACCAAGCATCCCAGGTACACCCCCGCCCCCCAATCTTTGCTCTTGACAGCACGCTTTCCATCTCCAGCCTCTTTCTCTGCTGCCCTCTTCCTTCTCCTCAGCCTCCCTCTTTCATTCTTAAAACAGAAGCCTACTTGCTCCCACTGCCTTCATTGTTTGCCCTCCTACTTATTCCTCAGCCCCATGACAAGTCAGCCCCTATCCCCAGTGCTTGAAATAGCTGAGTGCACGCATCTCTATCTTACTGGATCTAATTGGGGCATCCGCTCACCCTCTCCTCCTTAAAACTCTCTATTCGAAAGACCACCAGCACTCTCGGGTATCCTGGGACGTTGAGGCTACCAAGTCCCTCCCCACAACACTGCCACTTAATCTATGCACCTGAAAGGGCTACTAACCACCACTTCTGACTGTTTTCTAGCCTCCAGTCAACCTCTAACGCATGCTCACGCCTTCGCGAAAAAGGAATGCCCTCTTAAGGTCCCTAAGTTCCCCAAAACTCAGTACGTCCATATACAATAGCCCTTACACAGGTATGGATAAGTCCTTGCCTACACACGTCGGCCACTCCCAGTATTTTGTGAACATCTCCCAGGCACAGTTAGCCGATTCTCTGAGATCCTTTCCAGGACCTGGCACAGAAATGACAACCAGGTTTGTTGCAGAAACCAATGAGTTTATAAGGTACTCTCGCGGAGCCAAGAACTCAGAGAGCAAGGGCGGCCACTCACCGATGAGGACCGCGCTGTCCAGGTTTCGGAGCTGAGCCAATAATTGTCCCCGTGCCTGGAAGATGGGCAGATTCCGCCGCTGCAGCTCCACGGCTTCACGATAGGGGCTGGCAGAGGCCTGGGCCAGGGCCGGCTGCTGCCTCCGGCCGCCTCCGCCGCCGCCCGCAGTGAGCAGCATCACCACGCGCCTTCCCGGAGGGCAGGACCCGGAGCGGCTCGGAGGCCCGGAGCCCGGCCGGAATCTTTTGGCCGGGGGGAAGCCAGCCTCCTCGGGCATGTCGGGAGGGCACTGCGGCGGAGGCGCGTGGGCCGGCAGCAGGCGCCTCTCACGGGTCTGGCAGAAAGCGCGCGCAGCCCTTTAGCTGCCACGTGCTGACGAATCCCGGCGACCACCGATGATCTCACCGCCACCCTTTAGAAGCCGCACTACAACTCCCAGCATGCACTGGGGCCAGGAAAAGCTTTCACTTCCTCAGACCAGCGAGAGCGTAGAAGAGCTACAGGTAAAACCACTGGAGCGGCAACAGCGAAAACACAGGAATATAGTTCCGTGGAACCCGGTGCCTTAGATAAAGGCTTCTTCTCTTGATCTAAAGTCTATTATTGTTTTCTCCTTACTGAAATAACAGTTACTCTTCAAGAGTAGTACTTAATCCTGTAAAACTGATAAAGGGGCATAAACATTTTGCATCCTTTAATCCTCTTAACATTTATGTCATAAATTACATAGTTGTTTGTTGTTGTTGTTCTGTACCATTGAATTGGAACTGACCCACAGCTGAATCTCTCGCAGGTTTTCAGCCTTGAAGTCGCCTGGGAGGAGACTACCGATCCTTTTTCAAAGGAGCAGCTGGCGGATCAAACTGAAAGACCCCAAACTAGGGCTTATCCCAGATTGGGCGTGACCGTGAGCAACTCACACCAGATCCACTCACTGCAATCACAAGAGGCTTTATTGACGAAGCTTTGGTACGACTTGTATCTCACGCAGGAGACAGGGAAGTCGACCCCGAGCCAAAAAAGCAAGGGAATTTATACAAGGTCTAGGGGTTCTTTGGCGTGGAACTTACTCATTGGATCTTTGGAAAAGGAGAAGTTCAATTTTAGGTCAGTTACCTGCTGCTGACGTTAGTTAAGATATGGTTTTTGCCAGTAATTGCTTGTTCAGTTTGTGGTCAGCTAGTTCCTGGAACATAAACATTCACACAAGATCAAAGGTATAGGTCCTTACAATACTTGGGTGTGGGGACATTGTTTAAAAAATTTTCCTTTCATTCTCCACTTCTTTTAGTACAAGGTTCTAATCATAGAACCAAGAATCTCTGGAGGCAGTATCATTGTAGTCAGGTTCTCTCATATTTTGATATTGTTGTCTTAGAACTATTAATTGAACAGTACTGATGCGATCTTTAATAAAGGTAACAAGCTTATTTATAATACAAGGCCTAACTAGTAACAATATAAACAAGAGTATTAAAGGACCTGTAAGGGTAGATACAAGAGTAGTTAACCATGGGGACTTATAAAATAAGCTCTCGAACTATGTTTGCTGAGATTCTCAGTCTCGTTTTCTTTTGTCTAACCTTTCCCTTAGCTTTTGCATGGAGTCTTCTATTACTCCTGAATGGTCAATATAAAAGCAACATTCTTCTTTTAGCGTGGCATAGAGACCCCTGTCTTTGAGGAATAATAAGTCTAGTCCTTTTCTATTCTGTAAGGTTACCTCAGATAAGGAGGTCAGGGATTCTTTTAGTCGAGTAATTGATGATTCTAAAGCCCGAAGATCCTCATCTATGGCTGTTTTTAACTTATGGTATTGTTGTTGCCTATAGACAAGTGCTGAAGTCCCTGTACTTATTCCTGCAGCTATTCTTTCTACTCCTAATAGGACTGCTAGGGTCATAGTAATAGGTTCTCTGCGAAAACGGCGCTCAGGTGCATGATCAAATTCATTAACAAATTCATCATCAGGGTGATAGTATACCCGGGGCATCAGATACATTAATACACAGTAATCAGAGTTAGAATTAAAAACAGCTAAAGAGACACACGGGGTTAATCCAGTATTGCAGGCTTACTAATATCCGGTATTGGGAACTAAATATCCTTTGGAGAGGGGCACTTGGGTAGTGGTGTTACATAATGAGCGGACATTGCCAGGAGGGTTCCCGATACAGGTTCCAGTTCCTGAAACTTCAGTTAGAGTTAACTTTGTCTCAGTGTCTCAAGTGCAGTTATTATGTTCAGTGGAGTTTTTATATGTTCCTGCCACTGCGATACCTTCATAGTAAGGTGGGTTGGTGGCTAAACACAACTAACAAGAATCAGTGATTTGGGGGTTGGTATTATTTAGGGCACTAAAAGCTCCTTTAATTAGATTGAGGAGACGGTCTCTTGTAGAGGTGGGTTGTTTTTTAAACTCCTTTGGTGGTGTGGGTGAAGTTAAGATGGGTTGGCTCTGGGGTGGGACAGGAGGCGATTTCTCAGCTGGGGAGAGCCCCGCCAGCACAGGGTTAGGTCCTATTACTGTACTCTGTAGAGGACGATCAAACAGCTTTATCATAAATGATAGCCCATTATCATAGTGTTCTTGGTAAAGTCTGATTCCCCACTAATATCCTGACTGCCATTGACGGGCTTTTTTGCCAGGATCTGTGAAAGAGATTTTTAGGGGGTGACACTAATTACTACATGTAGCTCTTGCTTGTTTAATGGAATTGGGATTTCTCAGGTTAACTCGAGAGTAGTTAGCTGTTACAGTTATGAAATCCCAAGAGGAGGAAGGTTTCTAGTAAGTATTCCCAGTTGTTTCACACTTCCAGCTTCAGCAATAGAAATCACTCTGTCGCCCGCACATATGAGTTAGCCCTCGTGTATTCAGGTCGTGCCCTGGACAGATGTAGAAAGTGAACCATCTTAGGTTCCCTCTCTGTCTCTGATTTCTACAACCTGCTCATCCTCCGAGGAGGGCAGAGGCTAGAAGGCCTTGAGGTCATGGGGAGTGGGCCATGAGGGAGCAGTGGGTTTAAGGGTTGTTTCTATGTCCTAGTCTGTAGGGGCTCCATGGGCTAACTTACAGAGGTCAGGGTACAGATCTGGCTACCAGGTCTAAGGGGTAACGATTGCAGAGATAGACTATACAATGTTCTCTGCTTGAGATTGGACTACCCAGGTGAGGTTGTGAGGGGTGTGCAGATTGTGGTTACTTGCGGCTGTCTCGACGAAGGCGCAAACGAAAAGGATTATCAGTCTTTTCCAGAGTCCACTGGTCATCTTCACTGGTCAGAGCTGGATTGACATGAGAAGCATGGACCTAAGCTGCTACTCCGTCTACTTTAACAGCTATAGGAGTAGTCAGCAGCACTTGATATGGTCCTTTCCAGCAAGGCTCGAGATTGCTGGTCTGGTGCCGGTGGATTAAGACTTTATCTCCAACCTGAAAATTGTGCAGGAGGGGAGGCAATTTATCATTATAAATCTCTTGAAGCATTGGCCAGGTCGCCTTTTGGCATGTTTCTAGAGCTTTCAAACGAGTCATTAATGATGCAGAATTAGTAAAACTGGCATTATTGTACTTCACATTTACACTAGTAAGAGGGGATGGTCCCCTATACAGGATTTCATAGGGGGTAAGTGAAAGGATCCCTGGGGTGTTCTGAGCATGGAACAGTGCAAAGGGAAGGAGAGCAATCTAATCTTTTATGCCGGTCTCAATAGCTATTTTAGTTAAGGTCTCTTTTAGAGTTCTATGTATTTTTTTTTTTTTACCTGACCTGAGCTCTGGGGTCTTTAAGCACAATGCAATTTTTAATTCACCCCCAATTGTTTGGCCAGTCCCTGACTCACCTGGGCAACAAAGGCTGGGCCATTGTCTGACTTAATTACCTTGGGTATCTCAAACCGTGGGAAAATTTCTTCCAGGATCTTCTTGGCTACCAGGTTTGCAGTCTCCTGCTTGGTGGGGAAAGCTTTGACCCATCCTGAAAAGGTATCTACAAACACTAGCAGATACTTATAAACGGTGACTTTTACTTCAGTAAAATCCACCTACCTCCCAGTATGCTCTAGGTCTGTCTCTTCTCAGCCTCTTACCAGCTGTCTCAGCAGCGGTCTTGGCATTTGTTAAGGCACAGGCTTTGCAGTTTTCTACAATTTCTTGAATGATTTTATTTAATTTTAATATTCGGAACTCAGAGGTCTTGATGAGGGCTTTTCATTTCTTTGCTCCTAAGTGGGTCAGATAGTGTATTTGTTTTACATACTCTCTACCTTCTTTCTGAGGGAGAACTTTTTTGTTCTCTTGGTCTATTATAGCTTCTTCTGAGTTCTTATTGGTCAATCCTAAGCGAGACAGTTCTTGTTCGTCTTCTTCAGAATACTGAAAACTAATATCGGACATTGGGGGCCACCAGAGTTCACAGATGTTAGTAGCTAATGTCGGGACTCTCTCTGCTGCTGACTTGGAGGCTTTGTCTGCCATCCGGTTCCCTTTAGCTACGACATCTTGATTTCACTGGTGCCCTGGACAGTGCATGATGGCTACTTTTTTTGGCAGGTGTATAGCATCTAACAGTTCTAGGATTTTTTTGTTTTTGACTTCTTTTCCTGCTGAGGTAAGAAGGCCTCACTGCTGGTAAATGGCCCCATGGATATGGGCTGTGGCAAAAGCATACTGACTATCTGTACAGATATTTATAGCCTTTCCTGCTGCTAGTTTCAATGCCTGAGTGAGGGCTATTAACTCAGCTTTTTGTGTGGAGCTTCCTTCAGATAAGCCATCGGACTAAATAACTTTCTTCCCATCTACCACTGCTGCCCCGGCGACCTGCTTACCATTCTTGACGAAGCTGCGGCCGTCAGTGAACCAGGTTGGACACCTGGGCCAAGGCTGATCTCTTAGGTCCTTCCGGGTGCTGGTTTCTTCTGCTAGAATTTCACCGCAGCGATGGCAGGGTTCTGGGTTCCCCTCCTCAGGCAGCAGGGTGGCCAGGTTTAGGATGACTGGGGCTCCAAAGGTCACCCTGTCTGTGAGGAGTAGGCTCTGATAGTGGGTCAGGCAGGCATTAGTCATCTATCGGTCAGGTGGTTGTTGAATGATGCTCTCTAATGCATGAGGGGCTATGACAGTGACATGCTGCCCCCTGGTTAATTTGTCTGCATCTTTTATCAGGACTGCAACAGCTGCAATGGCCTTCAGGCAGACTGGCCAACCACTGGCCACTGGATCTAGTTTCTTGGACAAATAGGCCACTGGCCGTTTCCAAGGTCCTAAAGCTTGCGACAACACACCTT